TTTTCATGGCACTTAAAATTCTTAATCTAGAAACTCCTGAATTTATCAAGTCGCAATTGTTGTTTATTCACTTACATATCACATGGTTCTCTGGAATCATTTTTAACACATGTATTGCATATATAATCCCACGAAAACTAAAATATTTGTAAAACTGAACAGATATCTGAAACATTTACTAACTATATCAGCACTGAAAATTACCATTGTTCTAAACTACTTATAAATTATGTTGAATAATGCTAGGGAAGGTTCCTTTTCCACATGATAGTCTGATGATCCCTGAAGACCTCAGGTCATTCATAATGTACTTAAAGTTTGAAAAATTAATGTCTTTAAACCAACTAGCTGGTATAAATTACATGTGATATCTTTTCTTTTGCTAAACACCCTCTGCCCTCCATTTGAAGGTTTCCACAGCATTAAGTCAGTGTGCCATACTAGAAAATACATTCTTTGGAATCAGTGATGAACAACAAAAATCATGTGGCTATAATGAAAGAAATTTACATTATATCCTGTGATGGTTGAACAAAACAATTGGTTAAAAAGGGATTATTGCCAATCTATCTATAAAAAGAGCTGAATAGCAACAGCCTTTTGAACACTTCTTTGACCTCTTTCTACATATCATTTCTGTCTGGTCTATCCAATTCTTCCACCTCTGGGAAGCTGAAAATAATTATATGCCCAATAATAAAAGCCAAAAAGTACACAAGTACTTAGCATCAATCAATGGGAAAAAGAAGAGATTAGAGTATTTTCTGACTATCCAGCTTGCCTTGCAGCCATATATTTTGCACTTTTTGGAAATCATGAACTTAGTATTCATGTTTGTACTTGGGAAATCTAAATCGGGTCTCTGTGATTTAATGAAAAACAGATTACAAACGCATAATATAGTACATGAAATGTAGAAGAATTAAAGTTATTCTGGGAACCTTAACTTTTACATTATTTGTCATCTTTATTTTGACAAGTCATAACTTTAATGGTGCACTTACCATATTTTCTTGTACACTACACACAACTGAATAAAATATGCACCTTGCTTTTAGAATAAAATCAGAGTTATAGCAGACTGTGAGACAAAGACTGTGAGACACTCCTGTAACGAGTGTCTAGGTAAGGCAGCAAAATTTCCTTTGTGGCAGGACAGCAAATAGGCTAGGCCCAGAACCTTACAAAGGCAGTAGGCAAGACTGTTACTTCTTTACTTTAAGAAGTTCTTTAAATAAATTCCTGTAAATAATAAAAGTGGTTTCCATACCACAAACGTTATCAAAATACTAGACTGCATGCAGCAGCTCACTTATTCTGAGCCAAGTCAAAGTACTCAGGGTGTGAGAGGGTTAAAAATGGACTCCACCCCTTCTGCTTTCAGGGCCACAGAGAAGTGACAGCCATCCTGAAAGATAAGATACTGTAGTCTTAAAATCTTAAGATATGTACTTTATTAGAGAAGGTTAAGAAGTGACTTGATTATGGTTTTTAAGTACAAAAAGAGATGAATTTCTGAAAGCAGATGCCTCTTTAATCTTATGGAGTGAAGAAGATTCCACAGTTGTAACTAGACACATTCAGAACGGTATTATGGCATGTTTATTTAAAAAACCCTGGAGTGGATTTAGCTTTGAAACAAACTTCTAAAAGATATGTTGTTTTCCCTATCTAATGAGGTCTCAAATAAATATTAGATACTTTTCTACAGGTTCCTAGTCAACACAAACTTATGGACTTGACATAGACATTAGAAGTACAATATTATGGTTTGTGTGTTATATTGAAGGATGTAAACTAGGGGCTCATGAATAGAATCTTCTAATCTTAAAGTACTGGAGTTTATCTTCAAGTGGTACCATTCAAGTGTCTTCACCATAACCAATGGTTAATGATATCCATGTAAAATAAATTCATTCCAACTTATTTGTATAGTCATCATAAGCTCAATATACCATTCCCCATTTTTATAAATCGTATGCTCAGTTAAATCTACTCAAGTATTTCAACAGCTGTCATTACTTTCTGCTTGTACATGACAATCAATTTGTCCTTCCCAACTGTTTTAAAAAAGAGAAATGAAAGAAGAGTAAAAACACAAAGTAGAAGAAAAGAGGTGGGAGAATTCAAAGGTTAACTGCTGCAAAAAACAGGAAAGCAACCAAGCTATTTTCTATCCTATATCAGAATCTCAACCTTTCCTGATTTACATTACATGAGAAAATTCTGCTTGGTCAGATATGTCAATTTTTTGTTAAATTTAACACTGTAGAAACAACATAAATATTTAGTTTTATTTAAAAATATAGTTAACACATTTCTGTAATTACTCCTACCGCATCTACTCCATGTCTTTTCTCTAGTAGAAGTCGGAAGAGATTAGCTGTAATCTTATTATCTTGGACACCTTGTCCAAGGCCACGGTTGTCATCCTGCATAAGTCGACGGTCCATGATTACTTCCAATTGGCCTGAAATACAAATATTGGGTTTAGGCTGGTAAACTCAAGGCATTCCTCTATTAACTATATGCAAACCCAATGTATTTCTCTATTAACTATATGCATGTTATTACTGCGAACAGCAATGACAAAGATAAAGGAAGTTACTGGTAACTGGGGTTCTGAGATGTTGCACACAAAGTGCATTCTTACATCAGGATCAGCCCCTGATCCTTTTGACTGCAGATATTTTGACAGTGTTCCTCTCCTTGCCTGCCTGCCGCCTCTTGCTTCCCTTGCCACCCCCCCTGCAGCCACACATACACCAAGGTTATGAAGGACAAAGTATGCAATCTGGCTCCCCAGGTAGATTATCTTTTTTAAATCAAAAGGAGTTTCAAACAGGCAGACTCTGAAGAAAAGGTGAAGGAGTATAGGGTTTATAGGAGTGTGTGGACAAATCATGAAAACATGATGAAGGAAGTCCAGTTACTGTTAAATCATTTCTTTTTCTCCTTCAAATACCTGTCCACATATTTGCAGGTGGGACTTGGAGTCTACTTAGGCAAAGACTGACAGAGTACTGCTGTACCAAAGGCAATGTCACATTAGGAGGCCTCCACAATTACACAATAAGGGTATATGCTAAACTTCATGTTGCCGGACTATAAATGTCACAAAAACCCTATGGAAGGAAGCAGCAAAGGCAGCTGGAGGACCTGGTGGAATGCAGTTATCACAAAAGAAGGGTAAGCCTTTATCTGGGCTGATATAACTAGAAATTGAGTTGGAGAAATTCAGGGGATCTAAAAGCCAGATGAACCCCTGAATCTGTGGCTATGACCTCCAACAGGCAGGGGGAGCTTTCTCAAAGGTTTGATCCTCTGTCTCTAATAAACCAGAGCTCTTCATGTTGCACATGTGAAGGGTGCCCTTAGATCCTGAATTATACAACTGGGGGGAAAGAATACTAATGAAATGTGCTGAAATCACCTGTAGCAGGAATTTGGGTACAGAATGCCACTTTTCTGTATAAATCCATAAACAAAGGATCCAGTATTGGGGCTTGGATCTCATAAATGTGTTTGATGGAGGTGATCACCAGCAGGAAAACAGTCTTCATGGATCGACATTAGAACAAAGAAGATACTACTGGTTCACCTAGTGGGTGTGTTACTGCCATCAGATCTCACTGGCAGGCTAGATTCTTGACATATGGGAAGACCTTTTTTGTCTCTTTTAGGAAACTCAGTGCAACAGGTGCAAGAAAAACAGCTGATCTTCTGTTTGGGGGGACAATGGGTAAGAGTGCTGCCAGATAAAATTGAGGGATATATACCTGGTTCTCAGTTCCGACATTTAAACTAAAATACATGGGATTCGTGACAATACTGGGGAAATAACCTGCATTGGGCACCTTGAGGAGAGCTGTTTCACAAGCTAGAAGAACTCATGGAAACTTCTTCTGTTATGTGTTAAGACATTCCTAACACAAGGTTTGGTGCAGATTCACTCTAACTGTGAGAAAACCCTCAAAAATTAATGTTGTCAGAGTACAAGCTGGTCTGAGTGGCACCCTCTGCCATTCCACTGAGGGTGTTTGTCATGAAGCAGCAGCAGGGGAACACATCCTGTACAATCACAACTTACGCAGGGGTTATGTTCTGAAGTCAGCATGTATAGTTGAAATCGCATATAGCAGAAATTGCTGGGCTCGGCGCCGAGCAGCTGCCACCACCGGGCCTGGGCAAAGTGGCCAGCTGAATGTGAGCCCCCCAACCATGCCCGTGTGTGCAGGCAATACCACGCGGTGCTGCACTACGTGCTGTGCCCCAGACGGCACCCAGCGGCCAGCCCCAGCAGCCGAGTGCGTAAAGCTGAATTCGCCTAAGTTAAATGCGTGTAAGTTGCGACTGTACTGTACTTATCGATATGAGTACAGGAGGAGATTCTGAAAGCAGGGTTGTCTTGGCCAGGCTAGTTATATCAACACAATTCTGGTCCAATCCTGGTATACATCTGTTATGATTCACAGGTTAATGTGATTAGGGAAGAAGGTACCACAGGTCCTATCCACCCATGGTATCAGGAAGGCATGAGATAAGGATCGTAGACTGCTCTGTCCCTCTTCCCTTCATCCTCAAAGTCTACCCTGGAGCAGAACAGCTGGCACTTTGCATTCCACTCCATTGCAAATATGTTTATTTTTGGAAACTTGCCATGCTGTGAACACTTGGATGAGGACTGAATCCTTGATCTCCAGCTTAGGGTGGATTGACACGACTGCTCAACTGGTTTACTACCTCACTGAGGACAGAGCAGATATAGGTATTGTTACTCTTCATCTCAGAAAGTAGATAGATTGTAGACAAGTTTGTCTCTCTTTGAGGTCTGACATATGGCATCACAAAGTGCAGGATGCCATGTGGCTGATGAGGGAGAGAGACAATCTTATCGAGTCCCTTGTCTGCTCTTCTAGGGTGATAATCTGTCTCCTCATCGCATGAAAATACCTCTGTGGGAGAAACATCCTGGTGACTACTGTGCCCAAGAGAGTCCCTTCTAAGTTAAAGGACTGAACTGGCATTAGTATAGATTTTTTGGTAATTTACTATGAAATCTAGTGAACAGAAGTCTTATGGTCACCCAAAGGTTGGTCAATATGCATTCTGCTGTAAAACTTTTATCATCAATTAGTCATCTAAGTAAGGAAAGACGACAATCTCTGACTTCTTGTGGTGCATCACTACAATCACAAGAACTTCTGTAAACACTCATGGGATAGTACAGAGGCCAAAGGGGAGGAACCCAATATTGGTAGTAGTCCTAGGCCATAAAGGAATATGTGTATCACCTGTATGGTGATAGTTATTAAAACTGTGGTGGAAATTGATACTTTTTTTGGACATGACTTTCTCATCTGATATAACCAAAAGTAGAGGTAGAGGAGCACATTAAAAACTGACTGTACAATCGTATAGAGTGAAGTTGTATCAGGCCAATAATGGATAGTTCACAATGTGGAATTGTATACTTGCTCAGGAATAGGGCTCCTTGCCAAAGAGGTCCAGATACCTAGGATTCCTCTCTATTGGTTCCCCTGTCAAGGGGCGGGGCTATCCATGCAGCCCTCAACAGCTTGCCCACACTCGGTAAGCAGCCCTCCACATGAAACAGTTGCCCACCCCTGATATAGAGAGTCATACTTTCCTAGGATGCAAAATATTTTTGTGATAGGTGGAAATCTGACTCTACCTTCTATGCAGAGCTGGGATGGGAACTGATGGTGACTTTGTGAACCACAAAACAGCTTAATGCTTTGATGGAATTTCTTTATCTTCTAAGCAGATGCAATTGATATGAGGAATGCCAAAATGATCAATAAATATTTCTATGAAGCTCATAACGGGCTCATCAGTAAGGTCCATCACTTTTCTCATGTCTTCTTTACTTAAGGAAACAGGGTTCCACAGGGCAAATTGTTTGATGATATCTAGTTAAGTGGATTCTAATTATGGATTTTTAAAAAATATATTGCAACAGGGGCGTAGGCAGAAGCCCCGTTATTAGGGCAGCCACAGGAGCAGGTAACCACAGGGAGCACCCCACACAGGTGAGGGGAGTTACTAAACCCAGAGATTAGGGTAAGTAACCCACCACTGCGTGCATAAGATCGGCTACGAGGGAATGCAGTTTGCCCTTGGGCACTGGAGAAGGAGGAGACCACTGAGAAAAGAGAGAAGGAGAGGAAGGGAGACGGTATCCGGAGGAGGGCTGAGGACTGGTGACACAGAAGGGCCGCGGACAGCCGGTAAGGAGCCTGGGTACTTACCCAAAGCCCATGGACAGCAGGGGCAGCCCAGGGAGGACCTGGGGCTCCTGGAGAACAAGGTGGCAAGAAGTCTTGAGGCAGAGGGTCCCAGGGCAACATGCAGAGGGCAAGAGCCACGCAGGTCACCTGCCCCACCAGGTAGCTAAGGACTGAGACGAGTTCACTTTCGGGCACCAGGAGTCTGCTGTGAAGATGCTTCCTTGCTGGGAGCTGATAGATGCAGTACAGACACTCCCCGCTAATGAGTTAATTGGCATGCCAGGACACTCCCTGATTTAAGAGTTAATTAGAGCAGCTGTATCACTTCCCTTGCTAATGAGGCAATTAGCATGGAGGAAGCAACAATATAGCCCTGTTATGAATAAAGCCAGCACTGGGAAACTAACCATCTGGGTGGTCTGTGGTGTTTTGCCACCCTTAAGGGGTAACACTGAACATCTTTTTCTTTCAATCGAAGTCGTGGCAGGAATGTTCTGAGGGGAACCGAGACAGACCCAGCCACCCTCCCACAGAAACTGGTGCCTTGGCGAGGAAAGCCTAGAAAACCCGAAGAGCCATGGAGTCCACTGACACCCAAACCCTGACAGACTGGCAACAGGTTCACAGTATCACCTTATGACTCCTATAGGGCAGCAAGGCATGGATCCAGCTGTTCTCTCGCCAGCAGGACCTGAACGAAAAAAATCGAGGCCCAACAGATGTTGCTGGGGAGAGGAGGGGGAGGGGCCAGGTTCCCCAGGATACCCCCCCAAGACGATGTGGAAGCATACCTGGAAGCCTTCGAGACGATGGTCACGGCTGCAAAATGGGATCCTAGCAGCTGGGCAGTACAGACAGGCCCCCTTTTCACTGGGCCAGCATAAGTGGCCTATCAGGCTTTCACCAAGGCCAAGGCCTGGGACTATCAGAAAATGATATTATACCACCTTGAGATCTCCCCTGAAACATACTGCCAGAAGTTCCAGGTCCGAAAAGGGGCTGAGGGATCCTGCCTGCGCCTGCTTGCCCAGACCTGCAGGGACCTAGTAGAGCAGTGGCTGCAACTAGAAACCTGAACGGTAGGAGTGGTGGACCTTATAGTATTGGAGCAAGTCTTGACCAACCTCAGAAGCAACAACCATCGCTGGGTACAGCGCCACCAGTCTAAGACGGTAGAGGAGGCTCTGCGGTTGGCTGAGGATTATGCTGCGGCAAAGGG